AAGAATTATGGTAGAAGGAATATGCACACATTTTGTGGGTTGATAATATTCATTGTGTTGAATGAGTACCATTCATGAAGGATTATGTAGGATATTGATGAACGTATCACATTTCTATTTTTTTTTATTTGTTGTNGTTGAATGAGTACCATTCATGAAGGATTATGTAGGATATTGATGAATGTATCACATTTCTATTTTTTTTTATTTGTTGTTTATTATTGATTTTTATTATTTTTTAGTGAATTTTTTCATTATGTAATTCTTTGTGGCTTTATTTACGACATATTTAATCTAATTTGTCAAATTTTAAAATTAACAGAAATACTCATTATGATAAAAAGTTATTTTGGTTAAATTTCATTTCATTCCAATAGAAATTATTTTATCCAAACTTTGAAATGGAATGGAATGGACTTAATCCTAATTAATTATCGAACATTGGAATGGTAATACACATTCCATTCCATTCCATTCTCATGTTCATTCCATTCATATGTCCATTCCATTCCTACATAAAGGCATTACTGCGTACCAAATACAGCGTTAGAGATTTGATGAAGACTGTTGAACCTAGATTTCATATGCCTTCCCATATCATTGTGATAAGAGATTGTGTGCAATTATATATGATGGAGAAAGAAAAATTGAAACATATATTTGTCTCATCTAGTCAAAGGGTTTGCCTTACTACTGATACATGAACCTCTATTCAAAATCTAACTTGTCTATTCTTAACTGCGCAATTCATTGATAAAGATTGGAAGTTACACAAATAAATAATCAATTTTCTAAAAATTCATAATCATAAAGGTGTGACAATTATAAGGGAAATTAAAGCATGCATGCTAGGACAGGGGATAGCTAGCATATTTACTGTTACAGTGGATAATGCTACTTCTAATGATGTTGCTCTTGATTATTTAAAGAGACGAACTAAGGATGGGAAGAGCATTATCTTAGAAAATGAATTTATGCATGTTAGGTGTTGTGCACACATTTTGAATCTAATTGTTATGGAGGGTTTGAAGAAAGTGAACACATCCATTTTGAAGGTATGAAATGCTGTTAAATATGTGAAGTCTTTTCCTTTAAGGCTTGACAAGTTTAAGTCATGTGTTGAGAGGCATAAAATTGGTGAAAAATGTCTTCTTTGCCTTGATGTTCCAACAAGATGGAACTCTACATATTTGATGCTCAAAGTTGCTGAAGAATACCAAGGTGCATTTGATTTATTGCTAGAAGATGATGGGCAAGTTGTAAGTCAATTAAGTGAGGGGGTGGTTTAGGGCCACCTACATTTGATGATTGGGACATTGCTCGTGTCTTTATGAAGTTTTTGAAACTTTTCTATGAAGTCACTTTGCGCATTTTTGGATCATTGTATACCACATCTAACTTGTTTTTTCAAGAACTTCCTACTGTGTATGAACATTTGCAAGGTTACTGTGAAGATGATGACTATCTTTTAAGTACCATGGCTATGAGAATAAAAAGCAAGTATGATGTATTAGGGTCATTTAGATAATATTAATTTGATGTTATTTGTTGTTGTTGTCCTTGACCCATACTATAAATTGGATGCTTTAGAATTTTGGCTCAATGACAATTATAAGGATGAGGATAAAGCAGTTAAGGCTCAACTATAGTTGAAAAGATCAAAAGGGTTATGCCAACAGTACACTAGATTTAGTGTGGGGTGTGGAGTGGGGTCAAGTGTTGACCATGAGAAAAATGTGTCTTCGGTTCATGAATAAGCAAGTATAAAGCTGGGCAAGATAATGTAAAGAACAAATCAGAGTTGGATCGATATTTGATGGAGGATGTTGAATTAGCTAGTGTCAATTTTGATATTTTAAATTGGTGGAAGGTTCATTCTTCTAAATTCATGATCCTTGCCCAAATAGCTCGCGATGTGTTAGGTATTCTCATTTCTACGGTGGCATCAGAAACAAGTTTTAGCACTGGGGGTCATATTTTAAATCCTTTTTGGAGTTGCCTAGCACCCAAAATAGTTTAGGGTCTCATATGTGCACAAAATTGGCTTTGATCGTCATCTATTTCTTATGACTTTGAAGATGTTTTGGAGGATCCAAAAAGCTACAAACTAAAATTAGGTTTTTATACTTTTATTGTAACTTTTTTATTACTTGTTGATGAGTGCTTCATATCTAATTTTTTTCCTTACTCTATTTTATCTAAAAAATAATTGCTGAGAAAATTGCAATTGATCTTGAGTGAAGAGAGGTAAATTACACTAGTAATAAAGGTGTTATTTAACTTTTACATATTTTTCTTGGTAATTATAAGAATATTTATGTGATATAATTTATAATATTTTTATTGTTGTGGATATTTGGGTTGCTAAAACATCAACTTGTTTTTTGTGCAAGTTATATGATTTGTAGTAATCTATTGGAGTAGTTATGATTTTTGATGTGTTGATATGGTTTAAACCTAAAATAGATGTTATTGTATTTGTGCAACAATTATGATGTATTGATGTTTATGGCTTAGACTTTCTTGTGTTTTATTGTAATTGTTTATCTATTATTAAATTTATTGTATTTTTTTTAGTGTTATTTGTTTATTGTGTTGGTTAATTGGTGTATGTTTCAAAATTGAATTGTTAAAATGATCCAAAAATTAATAACTACAAAACGTGTTCACCCGATTTCCTACCAGACTTTCTACCTGATTAATTTGAATGGAATTCAGACAGGAATACTATAATTGATCGGATAGGTTAGACTAAGAAAAAATTCTTCTATAAAGTATCGAATAGGAAGATAGAAGACTGTAATTCCTATCCGTAAGGTAGGGTGAACGCCCCTAGTCGTAAGAGTAAAGAAGAATAAGGAATTAAAGTAGGGAGTGGAACTGAAACAGATGAAGAAGACGACTCAAGGGAACACTCGAGACGAATGGAAGCGGCAAAATAATTGGGTGTAAACTCCTAGAAGGTAACATATACCCAACAAAGATGCATTTAGTGGCATGGAGATCAAGTTTATCAAAACCAAGACCAAGATTGTGGACATAAAAAACACATCAAAACAACTTAGGTGGTCAAATGGAGAGTTAGGAAACAAAATAGAATCAAGAGAGGCCCCATGTAAAACAGTCAAGGACAATTGATTCAATAATCAAGGCAGCATCACCTAGAGGCGATAGCGAGGTATGCAAGGCTCAGGGAGTAGGCTCGAAATTAAAACGATAAAGACCACCTAATTCAAGCCTAAAACAATTTTATTTGTCTTGAGAACATAAAAGACAGAAAAATGAGGGATAAAAATGTTACAAAATAGTTAAGAGAACAAGTTTTCTTACGAATAGATAGCGAACTAATGAGGAACTGAGAAATATTAGAAGCAAGAGACAAAAATAGAGGAACTAAGCAGCTTAGTACCTAAACCTGAAACCTTTACAGAACTATAGGCAAGAGTAGCACTTCAAGATGAAGCTAGAGGGTGAAAGTTAGACAAGTGACTAGAAGAGCTAGTCATGTGGTCGAAAGCTCCACAATAAACGATCCATAGGCTAGAGGTGGATGAAAATAAACAAGTAGATGTTGTACCTGACTGAAAAAAAGTAGTAGTAAAGGAAGACACGGTTTGTTTTCTGAGATATAAACTATGCATACTCATCCTATGAAATAGTACTGAAATCTGTATCAAGAGATTGATCGGTTCCAAAAGGTAAGGGAGGACATCTTCTTGATAGGAAGCCTAATGAGATGAGACTGATTGTTTACCATGCAAATCTCAATAATAATTCACAATGCGATTACTACGACTACAATGAGTACATTTAGGAATGTCACGACCTCCTCTACCACCACAGCCTCCACGAGAACCAACACGCATTTCACAACCTCTACGAGAACCACCAAAACCACTTTGGAAGACAGCTAATGCTGAACGATCACCACTATGGTCAATACCTGCAGGGGAGATATGATCTGATATGGTAGCATGCTAAAGGAAAGAAAACATGGCAGGAAGATGGAAGCCTTGGCCTTCCTAACATTTCAGAAGTTCTCCTTGAGACTCAAGATACCATGTTCAACACTAAAGTATTGCATGCATAACTCAGAAATACTAGATATTTACCAGTACCAAAATACATGAGTTAACTGATCTCAAGTCTCTTTGGTAGTGTCCAAATAAACCAAGTTAGAACTTATATGAAGCTTAATACTATTCAACATAAGGTGAAATAATATGTGCATCTTCCGATTCCTATTAAGAAAAACCAGAATCACTATCTTTTGGTTTGTCTCCAAACAAATGCTTTTGAAGTCCTTTCCCTTTTAGAAACCTTTGTTCTTTTTTTTTTCTGATCAAACATGATTCCTTCCTTTAATAGTGACAATCTAAACAAAATTCCATGTATCTAAACATAAGGAAAGAAAAGGTAGACAAAACAAATCACAAAAGATTTAAATAAGATCATGACAATTGAACCGTAGCTTAGATCTGGCACGTCTTCTCAACCACACGTACCAGAATCATTACAACAACTATAAGATTGTCATTTTAGCAACAACAGAATGTAATTAAATAACGCAACCAAAATTTCATGAGGTGGGGAGGCAATAAAATACTACTTGACTCACATTACAGTCCATATTGTAATTTCACTTAAAAAAGAGTAGGAGATGGGAATACATTATCTAGTGGAAGACCTACTCACAAAAAAGGAATATTCCCACAATTTCTCTTCAGACATCTTCTCCTGAACTAAAAGCATTGGTAAGGTTTTACAATAATGAATGGAGTTGCTGATCATTTAGCCATGTTAAAGCTCCAATTGACCACCAGGGGACTCAAATGATCATATCTAATCAGTAGAACAACCAGACNCTCCTGAACTAAAAGCATTGGTAAGGTTTTACAATAATGAATGGAGTTGCTGATCATTTAGCCATGTTAAAGTTCCAATTGACCACCAGGGGACTCAAATGATCATATCTAATCAGTAGAACAACCAGACAGAAGTTACATTCCCATCTGAGATAGTTCCAAAGAATCCAAACCATAAATTGCAGCTTGTAGGTCCCTCTTGACCTCGAACTAGTCCATAAAATCATTGCAAATCAAAATTTCAGCAGCGATTCCCTTAAGTATTCATCTCCATCCCGTCAATACAAAAATGAGAAAAATCTCATTCCAGCTAAAAATGCAGCAGCACCAATATACTGAATTGTTACTAGTTCATTGTGTCACATCATGTTTAGCTTCATAGATAGTGACCATGCTGCAACTTATTAATCTTAGCAGAAACATACAAGTAAATCCTAAACTTCAATGATGTTTCCAGATCCCATGCAATTAGCCAGTCAAACACCACATTATAACATCCAATTCTTCCCATCTCGTGGTCTCGAAGTTGAGTGTCATTTATTCTTAGCATTGGCAAAGCTGGAAATAGATCATATAGCTCACCAACACAACGAGTCCCCAAATGAAATAGGAATTCAGTTCCCTTCGGGATGATTGCCAATATAGTATAATGGAAGAGCACCATGGAAAAGTGTTGCATATCTTACCAAATAGCCATAATTTTATGTGATTGGGATGTCCATCCATTCATAGTAGGCATCAATTCTCCATGATGCCATTTGCATATAAGCTGACATTTCTATCTCCGAGCCTTTTTGACATGCTAATAGTCCTTCTTTAACACATACTGCCTTTGATTATGAACTCCACATGTTAATTCAGCCTTCACTCAGTCCTAATCTAGCTTATCTTCCACCTACTCAAGTGACCAAAATGCAAAATCTGCCCATTTGATCGAAATTTAATTCCACATAAATTCCATGACAATGAAGATTCCAGGAGAACAATGTAAACAGTGTAAAAGACAGCATTATTAATTTATGATAATCTGCTAAACCAAGGACAAACCCTTGACATCCTAAAAAGCCCCCTATGCCCAGTCCGTACGGTACAGCTGGAGCACCATACGCCTTCCCAAACCTGCTGAAACCTTCCCCAACATAAGAACCCCATCTCTTGTTTTAACTTTTTCTCTTTATACTGAAGCTCATTGCCGCGTAGCTCACACAACAGGTACACTTACATGGTATTGCTTCCGTCTTCAAAGGTACATTGTCTTTAACCAGCTTTTTCAGGAGTAATTTTATGCATAAACTGCTAAAAGAATAGATATTCTGTGGCGTCTAAAGATACTCAAAAGAATACCAAGCATTCAGCAACCCCCAATCCAGAAACTCTACATGGCGACAATATTTTATGCTCCAAATCACAAACCCACTTCGCAATTAATCAAGAAATCAATTGAATGTGACGACAGTAACCAGATAACACAATTGCAATCGATAATGAAATTAGCAGCATAAGGTAAGGGAATAGAAATCACATACCTTATTTGTAATTGAACCAACCATTATACCGCTGCTACCACTTTCCTTCTTACCCTTATTCTTGAATTTGGACGCCTTCTTCTTCTTCTTCAACTTGCTCAAAATTGCCAAGGTTTCATCCTTCCATTTGGGTGTCTTCTTCTTCCTATTTTTCTTGCTTTTAATCTCCAGTAGGATATCAGCCAAAGCCGGAACGTTTTCACCATAATACTCATTAGCATGACCATTATCATCATCCTCGTCTTCTTCTTCGTTCTCATCGTCGTCATCATCTACCCTCTCCACCTGCGGCGCCACCGCAAAAATCTCAACTATCGACCTCTTCTTGGGCGCCTTAGCCTTCGATTTCGCCCTCGTCTTCACTTTCATCTGCTTCTTACTCTCCTCCCTCGCCCTATGAGAAAGAGAACCACCCACATGCGCATTCATAACCTTCACTGTCGCTGCCTTAAAAACACGCCGAACCGGACAAATCAACTCCAATTTCCTGCCGTCTGAACCCAAAGCCTTCTCCGATGACTCTACAGCCCCCTCAATTGTTTCATCTTCACCTTTTCTATCTTCCACAACGCTTTCATTTTGGGTTGATTTGGATGCCTCTCCTTGGACCACCTTGAACTCATCTTTGTCAACACAGCTGAATCTCACAAGGTCGACCTCGTCGCGCCACCAGTTGAACTTCTTGACCGTGATCGGAGGTAGTAATGCCTCCACAACTTCTTTGTTTGCCTCAGAAAACGGCCAGCACTTCGCAACATCCACAGTCCTCATCTTGGAAGCATACTCTCTGAAACATCATCTAAGAGCTATAGATTCAAACACAAAACGATCAAAAACAGCAGAAACTAGCTCTACCAAATAATTTACCGGATGGAGAAGCCCTCAAACGCCAACGCCATCGTTTCTTCAACTGGACCGGAAGAGAGAGAGTACGGAGGTGTAGATTACTACAGTTTTTCTACGGTTGAAATTTCACTGTTTTAGAGAGAAACTGATAAACTAGAAAAAAAATACCGTCTTAGATATGCATCTACAGATAAGGATAGAGAGATATTACAAACTTAACTCATCGGCAACAAGATTGAAGCAGATGCATCTGGTATTTTAGAGAGAGAAAGTAGAGAGACACCCGCATAAACACAAACCCATCAGCTAGACCAAATTCAGTTAGAAACCCACGTATATTAATACACATCTAAATTAATTTATGCATACGGAAAGAGAAAGATTTTAGAACTGACCCATGCAGATAGATGGGAGAGAGAGAGAGGGGATGAGAAATCAGAATGCGAGAAGAGCTGCTTCTTCGACGGTGGGAAGGAGAGTTTTAGAGAGAGAGAGAGAGAGAGCTTTCTTTCGTTTTCCCGCTCGATGAGTGTGAGGTGAGGTGTGTGATGGGTCAGTAACCATTTTTCAGCTCTTCCTTTTGGCCACCTATTTATGACTGACAACGACCTATGAGAGCGCAACCGAACCGAAAAAAGTAGAAGGGAGAGAATACGTAATATATTTTAGGAAAAATTTTAGTCTCATCTCTTTTAATTTATTGCACCTCAAGAATTCTCCTTCCGCTATTTTTTAAATCTTCAATAATACTCTCAAGCCAAATTAAAAATATCAATTAAAATACAATTTTAAAAAATTATTCATAATATACTTTAAAAAAATCTCCATTCGCGAAAAGCATATACTTTGAAAAAAACTTCATTCATGATAGGTATATTTTCAATGAGATTTTATATTTTTTAAATTTTTTGGACCAATTAAAATTTGATTTAAACTAATTAAATTTTTTTTTTATGTATCAAAATTCAAATCGAGTAAATATTATATTTTTTATGTATTAAAATTTGAGCCAATTAAAATTCTATTTGATCCAATTAAAAATAATTTTTAATCAGTTCAAATCAAATTTTAATCAACTCGTATTGAATCTTAATCAACCCCGAATTTTGATACATAAAAAAATATAAATTTTAATCTAATCAAATATTACTACATAAAAAATAAATTTTAATCTACTTGAATAGAATTTTAATTAACACGAATTTTAATAATTAAAAATATAAAAATTTTAATCAATTTGAAGTGAATTTTAATTGGCGCTAACAATTCGAGTAGAGTTCAAATCGACTTGAATTGTAATAAGTAAAAACTTATTTTAATAGGCTTGAATTTTAATATGTAAAAAAATAAAATTTAATTAACTCAAATTAAATTTTAATTGACTCAAATTTTAATATATAGAACAAAAAATTTTAATCAACTCTAATTTTATGTAGAAAGATTATTTGTGGTTTATATATGAGCACTTTTGTATTTTTGTTTGAAATGGTGGTTTAAAGACAAAGGGTGTCAATGATGTTGAAATATAAATTATAAAAAGTGTCACTAATGTTTTGGATAATAGAGAGAGGATATTTCAAGATATAATAAACTAGAAGGTGTATAACTAATTTAATTTATTATTTTATCAATTATAATTATTAAATAGATAATAGATTTCAATAAATATTAAGACTCTTCATTACATCAATAATAGTAATTGATCATGTTAACTAATCAAATTAATATTTAAAATCCAAATAGCATTACTTTTTAAATAATATTCTTGGGACACTTAATTTACTGATTTAATGATATAATTTTAAAATAATTATTATATTAACATCAAATTTCAAAGTTTAATGAGATCTATGATTAATCTAAAAATTATAATGAAATAAATCAAAAAATTAAATTAGATTATTTTAGAGAGTATTACATTAAGACCTTTAAGGTTTATCAATTCATCATTCAGACCCTCTAATATTTAAAATATTATACATTGTTGGAGTATAGATAGTCTAGGTTTATTAGGATTTCTCTTTCCTAGGTTTATTAGGATTTCTTTTCCCTTTAGGATTTCTTTTCCCTTTTTTACCCTTACTATGATTTTTATATTTTGCCTATATATACGGGGTTTTACTCTTAATTTGAGTATCTCCTTTTACTCACAATTATTTCAAGTTGGTATCAGAGCAAGGTTAGGGTTTGGGGTAGGGTTAGTGTATGGCTCTACCAGCCATACCGCCGAAACCACCCTGGCCATCAACTGCCTGAAAGTTGAATAGGAGAGGTTAAAGTGACGGCGCCGTCGCTGTCCGCCTTGATCAAGCCGTCGCTTCGTCTTGGCCCTCGTTTTTGCCCAATCTCTTCCGTTCAATTTTAGGCCTTAGTCTTGTACATTCTGTTGATCTGCCCTTGATGCAGTAGATCACTTATTTATATATTTTGGATTTCTGGGCACCGTGACTTGATTATTTGGGAGCTTTTTGGACCTTCCCTATTTGTCGCTACTGTTCGACTGAAGGTATATTGTTCTCCCTTATTTTATTCCTCTATTTNAGGGAATAGAAATCACATACCTTATTTGTAATTGAACCAACCATTATACCGCTGCTACCACTTTCCTTCTTACCCTTATTCTTGAATTTGGACGCCTTCTTCTTCTTCTTCAACTTGCTCAAAATTGCCAAGGTTTCATCCTTCCATTTGGGTGTCTTCTTCTTCCTATTTTTCTTGCTTTTAATCTCCAGTAGGATATCAGCCAAAGCCGGAACGTTTTCACCATAATACTCATTAGCATGACCATTATCATCATCCTCGTCTTCTTCTTCGTTCTCATCGTCGTCATCATCTACCCTCTCCACCTGCGGCGCCACCGCAAAAATCTCAACTATCGACCTCTTCTTGGGCGCCTTAGCCTTCGATTTCGCCTTCGTCTTCACTTTCATCTGCTTCTTACTCTCCTCCCTCGCCCTATGAGAAAGACAACCACCCACATGCGCATTCATAACCTTCACTGTCGCTGCCTTAAAAACACGACGAACCGGACAAATCAACTCCAATTTCCTGCCGTCTGAACCCAAAGCCTTCTCCGATGACTCTACAGCCCCCTCAATTGTTTCATCTTCACCTTTTCTATCTTCCACAACGCTTTCATTTTGGGTTGATTTGGATGCCTCTCCTTGGACCACCTTGAACTCATCTTTGTCAACACAGCTGAATCTCACAAGGTCGACCTCGTCGCGCCACCAGTTGAACTTCTTGACCGTGATCGGAGGTAGTAATGCCTCCACAACTTCTTTGTTTGCCTCAGAAAACGGCCAGCACTTCGCAACATCCACAGTCCTCATCTTGGAAGCATACTCTCTGAAACATCATCTAAGAGCTATAGATTCAAACACAAAACGATCAAAAACAGCAGAAACTAGCTCTACCAAATAATTTACCGGATGGAGAAGCCCTCAAACGCCAACGCCATCGTTTCTTCAACTGGACCGGAAGAGAGAGAGTACGGAGGTGTAGATTACTACAGTTTTTCTACGGTTGAAATTTCACTGTTTTAGAGAGAAACTGATAAACTAGAAAAAAAATACCGTCTTAGATATGCATCTACAGATAAGGATAGAGAGATATTACAAACTTAACTCATCGGCAACAAGATTGAAGCAGATGCATCTGGTATTTTAGAGAGAGAAAGTAGAGAGACACCCGCATAAACACAAACCCATCAGCTAGACCAAATTCAGTTAGAAACCCACGTATATTAATACACATCTAAATTAATTTATGCATACGGAAAGAGAAAGATTTTAGAACTGACCCATGCAGATAGATGGGAGAGAGAGAGAGGGGATGAGAAATCAGAATGCGAGAAGAGCTGCTTCTTCGACGGTGGGAAGGAGAGTTTTAGAGAGAGAGAGAGAGAGAGCTTTCTTTCGTTTTCCCGCTCGATGAGTGTGAGGTGAGGTGTGTGATGGGTCAGTAACCATTTTTCAGCTCTTCCTTTTGGCCACCTATTTATGACTGACAACGACCTATGAGAGCGCAACCGAACCGAAAAAAGTAGAAGGGAGAGAATACGTAATATATTTTAGGAAAAATTTTAGTCTCATCTCTTTTAATTTATTGCACCTCAAGAATTCTCCTTCCGCTAGTTTTTTAAATCTTCAATAATACTCTCAAGTCAAATTAAAAATATCAATTAAAATACAATTTTAAAAAATTATTCATAATATACTTTAAAAAAATCTCCATTCGCGAAAAGCATATACTTTGAAAAAAACTTCATTCATGATAGGTATATTTTCAATGAGAT